AATACAGTTTTCCCGTTCAACAACCGTCCTGCATTTGTTTCTTTCCCATGAAATATTGGCCAGAATTAATTGTCTGTGAAACATTTCATTTACATCTCGTTTATACGAATTATAACTTTTTCATGTAGTCCTTGCGTCCATTTCATTTGATAGTTAAAGAATGTTATTAAAATTATTAATGTTCGCGCGTGTTACTTGTTTCTTAGTTGACCAGCTCAAACCAGGTTTCGGAATATTCTTCATTCTTTCCATCAGTGACACGGTAGGTCATACCATTTAATATAATAGAACAATTGCAAGTCTTGTTCGAATCAATCAAATATCCTTTCTTAAGCCTACTTGATTCTTGATTGAATGTCCAGAGAAATAGCTGTGGTCGAATATTCATTTCAGATTCAGTTCGGTTCATTTCCGAAATTCAACAACTTCAATATTATTTCTGGATTCGGTTTCAATTCCATTTTTCCCAAGAAATCATTTATTTCAACCGGGAAAACTCACAACTCTGATACATCTACTATGACATTGTATCAACGATGAAAGCAAGTGACATAAAGCCAGGTACTGCCAGCAGTATAGGACCATGCATAAAGAGATATTGATATGTAGAGGCGTTGACCACGTGAGTAGTCATACTATTTTTTTGTTTGAGGTGCTGCAAAAACCTTCAATGGTTACCACTGTACCTAATTCATTGATAAACTCGTGTGGGGAACAAAAGATATTGGATGATAAAAAGAACAGATAATACCACGTGATCACAGAGTCAATGGAGCGAAATATATTTGACATCTGGAAAGACAAGTTGACAAGTTGAATTTAGTTTATACATGTGATCGGCAACCGTGTAGAATAACAAATCAGTGAAACACATTTCTTTGATATATGTCTTTGTAGAACAAAATCTCGAATATTTCAATTCTTATTTGTATTGAATACTGAAATTCAAACAAAGCAGGTACTAACAGAAACATTCTAATTCTTATTTATGTTAATATTTATATGAAAATTCTAGCAATCAATAATTCATAAGGAATTCAATTTATTTGAAATGCTTGGTTTATTCAAATGCTTTTTGTTAAAGTCAGAACAAGAAGGTAAAGTTTCTGTTTCATGTTGATTGCTTTCATCTGATAATTTTTGAATGGTCTGGTCAATNATAAGCCTGAATCATCAAGGTCGAATCTCATCGGCGGTCGATGTCGAAGCTTGGCTTTGCAACTGACACCCTTGGGGAGCTTCATTTATCTTTGATATTCGAGAATTTAATTAGTGATCTGTCGATCTCAGCGTCTTCATAAGGGGAGATGTCATCGCCCTTACTAACTCAAATTATGTCCAGAAATATGAGAAAAACCAAATAAAGGACCTAGTACAGGAAACAAGGTTGTTGTAATGTGTACAAAGAGAGATGTTTGGAAAAACTCAATAATCTAATAAGGCTCTAGTGTTTTTCATTTTAGTGTGAATTAAAAAAACATATCTATCACTATTCAACGTGACTACTCGACAAACATCATCTTATCCTCGAATAACACATTTACGTCAATAACAGTGGCAGAGCTTGTTCGTGAGTAAATTTGAAATGGAGGTAAATGAAGAGTTTGGGTTACTTCCCACGGACTTGGTTCAATTATGTTCACGACGTGCTTTCCATTTTTGATACAAAACGAACAAGGGGCACAGTAAATCATTGTGTCAACACTCAACAGAAGACCTCCGAATATCAAGTCTCAACGGTTTTTTACTCTGATATCTTCTAGTTATAAAAGTGTATGAAAGTGCATTTTTGTGGAATTTAATGAAACAATCAACCCACAGGAACTCATAAACATGTGACTTCATTCGCAGGTTGATCTAAATTAACTGCACAACATTGGTAACGTTGTTAGGCCTCTTTTATGCCCACGATTTTTATCGTGTGTTGCCTTGCGACAAAAATCGCGGCGATTTTAAATGAGACAAATATCACTTTTGTTCAAGTTTTTTTTGTGTTTCGTGTCAGCTTAAAATAAAATCGGTTTGAATATATTAGTCGATGAAATGACAGTACGAACATGCCTGAGGATGATATTGTATACTGAAACACGTGTTGCGGTTTTGTGAACTGTCTACTGAAAATCTCACAATAAAGTGTTAGTTGAATATATGTTATGGATTCTCATCAATTATAATTATCGGCCAATTCCATCACATATAGTTACCTAGGTAACTATTCTTTAATAGCTATTTATGATATGAGTGTTGGAAGTGAGGTTTTATTTTGTGAGTGAAAAAGTGTGTGAAACGAGCGTAGCGAGTTGAGCAATTTCACGAAATTACTTTCAACACAAATATCATACGAAGTTTTTTGTACCTACAACTGTCCTTAGATAAATTTAATATTTCTATAAAAACACATTTTGACATCTCTTGTCAGTTAACTATTTTCATGTTATCGCATTTTCTGTGAAGTGGCCGTGTCAGGTGATGCCGAATGACCTGGTTACCAACAGACAGTATTGTTTACAGCTCACGCGTTCTATTTAAAGTCACATTTGAAGTTCTTGCTGGTGTTTAATGTCTTCCATAATGAAGAACAATAGTGAGGAATTGTATGTTCCTGGCGATATTGAAAATATGGTTCACAAGTGTAGTCATACAGTTTCAATGAAATATACAATTATTTTGTTAGTAAACTTTCAAGTGGTAGACAATACTGACATTCAAGTCTAAACTGTTGACTTTAATAAAAAGTAACATAGTTATTTTTGGGAAAGAAAGTTTTTGGCTTTCTACTACTCCATCTCAATACAAAAAAATGTGGAAATCTTCCAAAGAAAGGAATGAAGCAATCAATTCTAAAGAAGAAACTCTATACATAGATGTGTAGATCATAAGGAATGTTTGGAATATAAACTGAGTAGAGAAAAGTGTTTTTTGTATAATTCACTGTTCATATAGAAGTATTTGTTTCGAAAGATTTTTTCTTTCATGTAATTGAATGTATCTCCCAAAAATTAGTCACTCCTAAAAATATAACCCTTATTATTAGGTGATCAATATTAATAAACATCCTCAAAATCCTCCGTTTTAATCAGTATGTCATTAACTTCGATGCCAAAAACACTTTTTTCAGATTTTTATTGGAACTATATTTCAAAATCCAAATGTTTCGGGATATCAAGACATCCATTCTAAGAGCTCTTGATCATTAAAATTAAAATGATAAATTGGCCATGAAGATTGTTTTAAAAAAAGAAATAGAAATTTATAACCTAAGAACTCGAAAACTCTGATACAGTTCCGAAAAAACACATCCACTCTGCAATTTTCAAGTAGTTTGATCAATCAAGATAAATCAGGATTCTTCGTTGATGACTATTCGACCGATTCCACTGCTATCTTCGTAATAATAGATTTACCAGTTTTTAATTGTGAAATATTTCATTATAACTGGAACCGACATAATCTCAGTTTTAAAATACAATAATTATTTTCTGTTATTTTCATACTCCTTTGCTATAATAATGAGTAATTCATGTTTTTCTTTTCAGCCGTCATGGATGAAGAGTAAAGAATACTGGGATAAGGCGTTTGAAGATCGATATGAACGACTGAAGATGGATCCAGAACGACCGCATTTGAAAGTAAGTAATAAACGTTTTTTATTTCAAAACTTTTCTGAGAGTAAACACATTCATTTCAAAAACATAGAAACAATTTCATTTTATTTAATCTATTGTACATAATAAAAATTAAATCCTGGTCGAGAACTTGACAACCGGGAAAGTTACGGCTCATAATGATTTGGATCTCTTTGACGCACTCAAAATATTCCAGAAAACTCTAGAAAATACAGTCATACAGTCATAGATAGGAAAAATACTGTATTTTCATAACAAGATTTTGTGGAATAATCAGATGGTAGACTTTACCAGTGGTTATTTGAAAGCGACCGAAAAAGAGCCGTAATAATAGTAAATCAAATGGATAAAAACAACTTATGTTTTGAGAAACATTGTCTTAGTTGTAATGCAAAATTAAACTGTTTTAATTTATATCACTGAGATCATGAACCTAAAATAACTAAACAGGGCAATTACGTATATGCGATGAGTAGCAGAATTTTTGCATCTTACATAACTCGTTGGAAAATCGTCTTTAAAAGACATTTTTTTGTGGAAGACTCAATACAGAAGGAAGATCAAACTCATCTTCCTCTTGAAGATGATCACTTGGTGATCGAAACACGTGTCGAGGTGTTAAAATAACGCTTTGGTGTTGGAAAAAAACTCCAGTGATATCAATCTTTTCCGTGTTCAGAACCCAAAGTTCAATTCGAGACGTTCGCCTTGAATAGTGAATAGCTTTAATACTTTTGACATATTTCAAAAGAATGATATGTCCATATGTCATATGCGATAGTCTACATGAATACATACACTGGATATTTTTTTGAGAATTCAGTCTAAGTTCGTATTTTCGTTTTCAACCTCTCGTATTAGCATTGGCATGAGTTTCTTTGATGATAATTTTTGTTCAATTCCATTCTACAGCGTGATCACCAGTTGATTTTAGTATATTGTGAATACAATATTCTGTTTTTTCAACCGTATTCTTGGGTTTAGTTTGTGTTAAAAGATATTCAAAGATATTTATAAAGCAATCGTGGAAACATTGGAGCAATTGAGTGATAATCCAGACTAAAGTACTTCTGGATAAACAAAATTTTTTTACAGTCCATCACCAACAACTAATGAGAAATACTTCAATCTGTTTTGTGTGATTTATCATGAACATTAGACCATGTTGGGTTTTATTCTAACTAAAAGATCTACATACTGCCTGGGCCGAAAAGTATCAGGCCTAACACATAGATGGCGCTAGTCTTATTGTATTTACTGCTTTTTCAGTTACTACTAACCTTCAAAAGAAAGCTATTGAAATTTCATGATATTTTACTTATAAGTTTGTGAGTTATTGTGCTAAAAGTGACACTACTTTTAATATTTTCAAAACAGTGGATCAAAAACAATTTCATGTTTTAATTTAACACTGCTTCTTGATGGGAAAAAATACCGTTCAATCGAAGCAATGGCCTGAAAAGTGTTATAAGGACTTCCATAAGAGCTTCTTGATGGGAAAAAATACCGTTCAAGCGAAGCAATGCCTTGAAAAGTTGGATAAGGACTTCCATAAGAGCTTCTTGTCGGGAAAAATACCATTCAATCGAAGCAATGGCTTGAAAAGTGTTATAAGGACTTCCATAAGAGCTTCTTGATGGGAAAAAATACCGTTCAATCGAAGCAATGGCTTGAAAAGTGTTATAAGGACTTCCATAAGAGCTTCTTGATGGGAAAAAATACCGTTCAAGCGANGGCAAATTTAGGACAATAGTAAAATGAAATACAAATGTTTATCGTAAACTAAACTTTTAGTAAAACCCTTTGTAGTGAAATAATAAACTGTATTAATTAGTTTCAATATGGATTCTCATTAAGTATCGGGCAGTTCTATTCAATTAGAAATGTTCATGTTTAGATCTCTGTTGACTGAGTGTAGAGTCACAGATGATGTAGGAGGCAGTGGACGTTCAAATGAGGCAGTAACATCAGAAAACAAAAAACTCACAAAATCGTTTTCAGTGATCGAAATGTGAAGTTGCTTGATTTAGGTACATGGTGAAGATATAAAAAAACGCGTTGGCTTTATATTTCATGGTCATTTGACTATGATAAAGCTCTGCTCAAAGTGGGTGCTGCGCGAACTCACTGTTGACCAGAAACAAGAACGTCCGGATGATTCTGAGCAGTGTTTGGTCATGTTTAAAGATAACAAACCATAAATTTTTGCATCGATGTGTGACAATGGATGAAACATGGTTCCAAGGCCAAGGTTATGGCCTCGATATTTTGGGATGTGCGTGGTGTAATATTCATCGACTATTTCGAGAAGGGGAATACCATCAACAGTGAATATTATATAACGTTATTGGAGAGTTTGAAGGCCGAAATTGCAAAGAAACGACTCCATATGGCAAAACAAAATTTAGTTTCACCAAGATAATGCACGAAATCACTTCTAGATCCTCATTAAGATATGCAACCTCCTGCTGCCGGTGCAGATGTGCCTCCGTAGCCGATGTCCTGGAATCCAAATGAAATGACGAGACAAATGTGCTGCCGTCAGCAAAGCAATATATTGGATTATTGATTTTTTCCAATAAGTCGTTGATATACAATAACGTTTTTTCAGGAAGCTGGAGAGCCATACACAAAAATGAAAAATCAAGCGCAACAGCTCTTGGTTCTTCATGTTTCTCGATTGCGTTATTCCAAATGTGAGTAACATACGATAGAAGGTCGCCTGTTGATCTTTGTTTCCGAAAGCCATATTGATGATCGTTCAAGATGTTGGAGCCTTCCAATTATTTGAGGGTATGGTGGTTTACGACTTTCTCCATGATTTTTGATATCACTTTCTTTGGCCCGGGACTTTTTAGTCCATGTGTTACATTAACGCACCTACATAGAATAATAATAAATTCCATGGATCCAGAGACAATTTTTCGTATTGCAGTTCCAATTCCATTTCTCGAGGAATATATTCAAATATTATCCGGTTGATTTCTTCAGTGGAGAGTAGTTTTGTACGAAGAATCTGAACTTAGACACACTAGAATCGGAGATCAATTTGTGAAGAATCAAATGGAAAATGAAGAGAACAGTAATGAACCCAGCTATGAAAAATGAATGCAATGATAAGTCCGGCCGTACACAGACCACATATTTGCAGTTGAGGCAACCACAACCTTGTGGCCACGTTGACTGCACATTTTTGTGGTCGACTTGCGGTCATATAAACCGCACTTGCAGTTGAAGCAACTGACAAATATATTTTGTGGTGTCAGAGTTTAGTGCCAGTTTTAATATGGATTTCGAAGAAGAAGCACTACTACTTCTTATTTTGAGGAGAAGGAGAAGATGTAATAAGGTACGATCGTTTTGGGTACATCCACTTCTGGTTGTGCGACAACAGGAAGGAAATTTTTATATTTTGTTTGAAGATTTGTTTGAAGGTGATTGACAATGTTTCGTGATGAATTTCACTAGTTCGGACTTCCATTGTCTACTATATAAAATGATTTGAAATCCCTGAAACAAGTAAAAAAGAATAATTAAAAAAGAATAGTTGAAAATAACAATTATATTAAGCAACAACAAACCTGAAATGAAATGACAGTGAAACAACCTACAAACAAAAATAATAATGAATATTACTGGAGTTTTTTTCCAACACCAAAGCATTATTTTAACACCTCGACACGTGTTTCGATCACCAAGTGATCATCTTCAGAAGGAAGGTCAAACTCATCTTCTGAGTTAGAATCGGAGATCAATTTGTGGAGAATCAAATGGAAAATGAAGAGAACAGTAATGAACCCAGCTATGCAAAATAAATGCAATGCTAAGTCCGGCCGTACACGGACCACATATTTGCAGTTGAGGCAACCACAACATTGTGGCCACGTTGGCTGCACTTCGCGGTTGACCCAACCACATTTTTGTGGTCGACTTGCGGTCATATAAACCGCACTTGCAGTTGAAGCAACTGACAAATATATTTTGTGGTGTCAGAGTTCAGTGCCAGTTTTAATATGGATTTCGAAGAAGAAGCATTACTACTTCTTATTTTGAGGAGAAGAATCGATAAAGAAATCAAAAAGATTAGCTGAGAAAACAATTTTATAAAGCAAAAACTGAATTTACAATGAAATAATACAAGCAACAACCGGTAAACTCCGGCAAGACGAAAAACATTTTTTTAATCACTTCAGAATGTCCATTAGTTCTTTTGATGAATTAATTAAAATTTTGAAATAAAAAATTGAACTCTGGGAGACCAATATGAGAAAAAGTACACGACGATGTGCGCGGTTGGGAACGACTGCAAGTTTGTGGTTGGTGTACGGCGGATGCCGCAATGACATCTCGGCGGAGATCATCAGCAAGTTGACTGCAGACACCCGTTTTGACTTTTGTGAACGCCCGTGTACGTGTAGCATAGTATTTCTTATGGGCGGCTTGAGTTCGCTGGAACGCGACTGCAATTGTGTGGTCGATCCGACCGCAAAATGTAGCTCGTGTACGGGCTCTCTAATACATTTCCCAAATGTAGCGGCTTTAAAAACTCGCAGTTATGTAGCATTTCATTTCAAACACTTTGTATTTATAATTTACTAACGAAATGAAATCCTAGTTAGGACTTTGCAGTTGGTTGGAAAAGTGAAAAAACCGTTTTTATCTCTCGGATGCGGTGAAGATGGGATAAATAAATTCAGATAATCGTATGCGGTATTACTATCTTGGAAAACGTCAGTAAGTTTTGCTCAAGGTCGCCCTACTTGTTGGTTACGGTACAAGGAAGTCGTGCTACATGCAATATCGTTCTGTAGGAACTAAATATATCTGAACGTTCACAAATAGTTATTTGAAACTTGGATGCCTCCGATATACATCAGATGTCTAATATGCAAGTGGGGGGATATAATTGAAGTAATCAGGTAGTTATCAATGAAAAATACACATTCTAGATTCAAGGTTGGTATTCCTTTCTAACAAGCTTAACTTTCATAGTATGTTATCAA